ATTTTCTCATTGAAGGTTGCATGTTAGATCACGTCATAGAAGATGACGAACCTTTGAGTTATCAGCAAGCCTTTCAGAGTAGGGACTCTGTTGCTTGGCAAGATGCAATGAAATCCGAAATAGACTCTATGTACACCAACAAAGTATGGATCTTAGACAATGCTCCTAAAGTGGTGATACCCATAGATTGCAAATGGTTGTTTAAGAAAAAATTAGGTGTAGATGGGAAAGTAGAAACTTTTAAAGCTAGACTGGTAGCTAAAGGTTTTCGTCAAAGACCTGGTTTGGACTACGATGAAACCTTTTCTCCAGTAGCTGTGTATAAAAGGATAATTGGGAGTATAGTATCGTTTTTTATTTTGTATGTAGACGATATACTCTTAATCCGTAATGACATACCGTCATTACAAGCGGTTAAAATTTGACTATCAAAAAGATTTTCCATGAAAGATTTGGGTGAAGCATCCTGTATACTAGGTATTCAGATCTATAGAGATAGATCTAAAAGGATATTAGGATTATCCCAATCTAGATACATTGGCAAAGTGCTAAAGCGGTTTAGCATGGAAAATTCCAAGAAAGGTTTTGTACCTGCATCTCCTGGAATCTCGCTCTTTAAAAAGATGTCTCCCCAGACTGATGAAGAGAGGAAACGCATGAGTCTAATTCCTTATGCCTCGGCAGTAGGATCGATCATGTATGTCATGTTATGTACTAGACCGGATATCGCTTATTCACTCAGTTTGGTAAGTAGATACCAATCTAATCATGGAGAAGTGCACTGGAAAGCGGTCAAATATATACTTAAGTACCTGAAAAGGACTAAAGAGTTATTTTTGATATATGGTAAAAATGACCTCCAAATGGAGGCTTTTTCCGACTCTAACTTTCAGAGCGATATCGATGATAGTAAATCTGTTTCAGGATATGTTTTTATCCTTAATAGAGGGGCTGTTAGTTGGAAAAGTTCCAAGAAGGACACAGTAGCAGACTCTACTATGGAAGCTGAATACATTGCGACAAATGATGCAGTCAAAGAAGTTGTCTGGATGAGGAAGTTCCTTTCAGAGCTGAAAATTGTTCCCACCATTAAAAATCCAGTACCTTTATACTGTGATAGTAATGCTGCAATAGCTCTGACAAAGGAACCCCGGTCTCACCATAAGTCCAGACACATTCTGAGAAAGTATCACTTGATCAGGGAGATAGTTGATCGCCAAGAGATCAAGATTAAAAGAGTTGACACAAAAGATAATATAGCAGATCCATTCACAAAGGCAATTGCTCGTACACAATTTGAAAAACTTGTTGAACTATTGGGTATTAGATACTACAATGATTGGCCTTAGTGCAAGTGGGAGTTTGTTGGATATAGGTGCCTTGCAGGCAATAATTGTATATTGTAACAGGACCTATATGAATATAACATCATTGTTTAAAATAATAGTATGCTATTTTGGTCAGATTTATCTGGTATTTTAATACAGATAAAGTCCTTAGAATGATACTAGACTATCAGACATTTCGGATATGATCGTAATGAAGAGATCTGATTTGTCGCTAACATATATTCTAAAATGTTCCTAGTCGATGAAGTGTTGAAATGGGACATCATCACTTTGGTAAGACTAGTGTATACTTTATTTCTCCTTTGGAAGGACGATGATCCATCTCTTAGATCATTGATGTGAGACATCAAGATATAGTATACAGGTGACTCAATAGTGAATGAGTTGACTGAACGACTCACTGAGAACATCTAGTTGGTAATTATACTTAACTGTCAAATAGAAGTTCTCAAGTGATATAGTACATAGTAGTCTCTTGACCTGAGGCATGAGTGCAATATCTTATATGTCAGTAAAGATGTATTTAGACTTTTACCTAACCACAGTTCTTATTGAATTGTGCATAACGGTTCTTGTTGGGTACATCCCGAGACATAAGTAGATATTGAGATGCCAAGAAGGGATTCGTCTCTCCCAGTATAGGGGTTGATGTCATAAGATTGTTTGATATAACTATAACCTGGAAATCCTTGGCCAAGGTGAAATAGGTGTACTTAGACTTTTACCTAACCACAGTTCTCATCGAGTTGTGCATAACGGTTCTTGTTGGGTACATCCCGAGGCATAAGTAGATATTGAGATGCCAAGATGGGATTCGTCTCTCCCAGTATAAGGGGTTGATGTCATAAGATTGTTTGATATAACTATAACCTGAAAATCCTTGACCGAGTTAAATAAGATAAACTGAGTGTCAGTTTTGATCTTATATGTTATGAGTTTAATATCTACAAACACTAATTGAGCAATTAGGATTTGACAGTTTTCCATACCCTAGGCTTAATAGTTTGACATGGTTTGACGAAGAGACCGGACTGTACGGCATTATCACTGAGTGGTCCTGATAAAATTGTGTAAGCATCTTGCAGACATTTATCATAACTTATACCCGGGTAGTCTTCATATGTAGCTAGCACCTCTGTTGTACTTGTGGATATGATCCACTGCCGAGTTCTTAAGTTGGGCCCTAGAGTCACACCAAGCGCGTACTTGAATCCTATGAAACACAATTTATAGAGTGATGCGTATGATTGATACGCATATATGATTTTACCGGATACACATAAACGGTTATGTATATCGATAAAATCGGAAGGCTATGTGCTTAGGAAATGAATTCTAGTATTTTTCCTATAAAGTTAACTTTTAGTCAACTAGTTGACTTTTTGGTCAACAGTTGACTTTTGGTCAACTCATTGACTTTTTGGTCATATGATGACTTATTAATCAATGATTGGAAAATTACAAAATATCGTATTTATGAAATACAATATTAATTTGGTATTCTCATTTATGAAATACACATACCATGTATAATGAGTCATGAGATGAGTCATTTAGTGGTATGGTTTGAGCACATGGTTTATTAGCACATGGTTTTGAAATGTAATGATTCATAAGATGATTCATTGCATGACTCACTAGATTAATCATTGATATTTGATGATTCATTGCATGACTCATAGGATGAGTCATTCATGTCATGAACACATTTTACTCTATAAATATGAGCTCTCTTTCTTATGGAAAGGTTAATGAAAAATTGGCTAAGTGGTTTTTTTCCATAAGAGAATAAAAGAGAGCTCTCCTCTTACTAAACTTTAGCTATCTTTGAGTAAGAGGAAGTAGTAGGATTTTAAAGTACCCGGGGTGGACATCTTGCCTTGTGTCTCAAGAAGACTCCGATTTTATCAAGCTCACTTGAAGACTTGGAGATCCACTACGAGGAGATTTACTACTACAAGGAGCAAGAGTTAGGGGTTGTTCGATCTTCCATCGAATCACGCTTCAAAAGTATGACTTTATAACCCTTGTATGCTCTCTTTAATATAGGGATTATGTTAGATTTAATTAGGATGGTCCTATTATGTATTTCATGCTCTCTACATGCATAGCATAATTATACATATAGTCTTCCGTTGCGTATTTTGCATGTATTTAGCATGATTTTCCTTCACTTTTCCTACTCTTATATTACATAATGCGTCAAAAAGGCCACAGTTGTTTGCTAAAACATGTCAAACCATAACAGAGCATTTTGAATGTTACCCTCTGCAGTATTGAATGCAGAATTTCTAGTCCCTACTTCATCCTTCTGCTATTTATAACATCTCAAATCAGCGCTCTATTTGCGACTCAGTTTCCTTCCCACATTTATATCAACCTTTATTTATCGCATGAATGTCAGATGGATCTTTTTCTTTTCTTTCTTCATTCATGCCTTATATTGTATGTTTGAGAATATTTCTCCTTTGTCTAGCCATAATGCTTTTCCATAATTCCATCCTTTCTGCTATTTCACATTTGTTAAAATAAATACAGAAATTTTCTAGACTATCTGATGATCCTAGTTTCGCTCTTTCTCAGTACACACAGCTTTTCTCTCCGTCTCAGGAGCTGTCCATTTAAGTGTTTGCTCCACCAAAAGACAATCATATAACATTCTGCTACACTCATAGCCCTACGAAAATCTATTATGTGGTCAACTGAAAATGCTAATATTAGCCATTTTTACAATAGTGAACTTCGATTGGTCATCTTGTAACCCAATGACAATCTGTTACTTCACAATGTCCTTTTGCGTTGCATCCATTTTCTTCCAATAACAGCCATCCCTCTGCATAGTACATTGCAGCCTAACAATTTTGCAGTCAACTGAGAACAGTAGGTTGTAGCGATTTCCCCTTAGTAGTACCTAATTGCATATGCTTGACACGTAACAGTCAACTTGTTGTATCCAAGGCCACCCTTCCTTTCATATTGCCATGTCTATATCATTGAGTACATGTTTGTTGGACTTGTTAACAAGTCTTAACAGTTCTAAATAGGAGATATCCCCCCCCCCCCCCCAAAGGGGAAATTACCCCATTAAATATTTATACGTTGAAATTAGTCCCTCAAATCATTGAAATTTCAATTATGTCCCCCCAGTCTTATACATTGCTAACGCCATACTTGACTGGAGGGATTAGTTTGAAACAACTTCTAAGAATTGGAGGATCCAATAGCAAGTTGAACAATTGAAGGAACTAATTTTTGAAAAATCTTTGATGGGGCTATTAGCACTTTCACTGTATTGAGGGACTAGTTTTAAAACATTAAACATTTAAGCAATTAATTTCGAAATAACCCAAAAAAATAAAGAATACACCAATCTATTCTTTCTTCTTTGAAGAAGAAACTATTCCCCCAAAAAATTCAATAATAAAAACAAAATAACTGTCATAATCAGTTGGACGCGGTCAAAGATTGCTACAGCTAACCGACCTCACAAATATCTTATTAGTTATTACTATTTCATCACGCGATAAACCTTTAAATAAAATTAAACAAGACCTAAGCCGCTCACAAATGCCAAAAAAAAATAATAATAATAAATAAATAAATAAATAATTCCAAATATCCAAAAAGATTATGAGGTTGAACAAGTTATACCTTCGAAATCAGTGAGCTGGACGTCGTGGATTCGGAAATGGTATCGCCTGAAGCAATCCTGAGACGATTCCTCCGAATCGAATCGCTTCTGGACGCTGGCGAGAAAAACGCGCGCTTGGGATCTGGTGCTAGGGTTCTCGAGTCTCTCGAGGATCGATTTGAGGGCGGCGTAGGCGGAGTCTCCAGATCTCTCGCACTCCTTCAAGAAAACCTCCATCTCCGACGACGACGCCATTGGCAGAGAGGAGAGAGAAAGTGAGGGAAAAGTGAAGAGAGAGAAAGTGAGGGAACAGTGAGAAATAGAGAGAGTGAGAGAGAGAGAGAGAGAAGACGCGGGCGGGTCTTTATAACCTGCGCTAGACGTCACTCTCTTTGCCCCCTTCCTTCGAATCCTTCCGGGTTCCTTCCTTCCGGGAGAAAAAGGATGCGAAAGATTTCTCTTTTTAATTTTTGGATAAATTTTGCACGGGTTGGGATAAAACCGGGGCCAATAGAGCAGGGTCGCAATAATAGTAGAACAAAAGTAGAGATAAAATGTTAGACACACAGATTTACGTGGTTCGGCACTTGATTGCCTACGTCCACGGGCAAGGATAGAAGAATTCACTATGATGAGAAAAACTCTGGAGTTACAAACTCTCTCTCTTTACAAGGAGAAACTCTCTCTATTTTTTTTCTCTCACTCACTCTTCTATATAAGAAGTTGTTTCTGGGATGAGATTTCCTTAAAGATTTGGAGCCCTATTTATAGTTTTTAGAAAAACACTATGCACAATAAAATATCAATATTTTACTGTAGCTGTGGGGCCTGCTCTTTTGTTTTCTTCTCAAATTTTCAACAGAAGCTGCAGGGGATGAAAAACGTGGACGGCTTGGGCTTTCTTTCGGTGCAAAAGCATTTCACGGGGCCCGCCTTCTTTATCATTCGTCAAAGAAGGCTGCTGCTGACAATCTCCCACTTGAAGATTTGATTGAGTATCAAGCATATCTTCACACCATTCTTTCTATCTTGTCATCTTCATGTTGCTTTACGTCTCTGACAGACCACAGGAGGATCGATACCAAATAAATTTGTCAGTACTGACTGTTTTTGTCAAAAAATCTGCTAGGTTATCTTTGGTGTGAATTTTCTGCATATCCACTGTTCCTTCTTCCACTTTCTCACGAACGAAGTGATACTGAACTCGAATGTGCTTGGTCTTTGAATGAAAGGCTGGATTTCTTGCCAAATGCAAAGCACTCTGACTGTCACAAAATAGAGATATCTTCTTTTCGAGTTCCTCCAGCACCATCTTCAACCACATCGCTTCTTTACTAGCTTGTGTAGCTGCTACATATTCTGCTTCTGTTGTTGAAGTAGCCACAACTGACTGCAGTTTTGAAACCCAGCTTACAGCTCCGCCAGCAAGTGCAAACACATAACCTGTGGTGGATTTGCTATTATCACGATCACATGCATAATCAGAATCAACATATCCACTGACAATAAAATCAGATCCCCCATAACATAATACAACATTTGAGGTTCCTTGAATGTATCTTAGAACCCTCTTTACAGCATTCCAATGCTCTTTACCAGGATTCGCCATGTATCGACTAACCACTCCCACTGCTTGTGCAATGTCTGGTCTTGTACAAATCATCGCGAACATTAAGCTTCCCACTGCTGATGCATACGGCACTCGAGACATCTTTAAGCTTCCCACTGCTGATGCATACGGCACTCGAGACATCTCCATCCTCTCTTCTTCACTGCTAGGACACATCGTGGAGGATAACTTGAAATTAACAGGAAGCGGGGTAGAAATTGACTTACAATCTTGCATGTTAAAGCGTCGCAAGATTTTCTTCAAATAGTTCTTCTGAGAAAGCCAAATCTTCCTATTAATTCTGTCTCTATAAATTTGCATCCCTAGAATCTTGTTTGCAGATCCTAAATCCTTCATTTCAAATTCCCTAGCCAACTGAGCCTTTAATTCTTTGATACGATCTTTGTTGGGGCCTGCAACCAACATGTCGTCAATATATAACAATAAGATAACAAAGTTATTTTCACCAAACCTCTTGAAATATGCACAAGGGTCTGAATTAAGTCTGTTGTATCCAAGGCTCATGATGAATGAATCAAATCTCTTATACCAACACCTCGGCGTCTGCTTTAGACCGTACAGAGATTTGTTCAATCTGCAAACCAAGTTCTCTTTTCCTTTTTCTTCAAAACCTTCTGGTTGGAGCATGTAAATTTCTTCTTCAAGATCTCCATGAAGAAATGCTGTTTTCACATCTAGCTGCTCTAGATGTAAGTCAAATATAGCGCTCATAGCCAGGACTATTCGGACTGTTGTTAGTCGAACTACAGGAGAAAATATTTCATTAAAATCAATACCTTCTTTCTGAGCATATCCTTTTACCACCAATCTAGCACGATACCGCTCCACTTGATCATCGTCATTTCGCTTGATCTTGTAGACCCATTTGTTTTCAATGGTCTTTCTTCCTTGTGGCAGTGACACAAGTTCCCAAGTCTTGTTCTTATGGAGAGCTTTAATTTCTTCCTGCATTGCTGCCATCCACAAAGATGCATTTGTGTCATTTATAGCTTCATGAAAAGTTGATGGCTCTCCATCCTCTGTTAGAAGACAGTATGCAACATTACTCTCTGTAATATACTCCGAGTGCCAAGTCGGTGGTCTTCTCTCACGAGTTGACCTTCGAACTTCTGGTGCCTCAGACTCGACCGGTTCTTGTACATCATGCTCCGGTGTTGCTTCAGAAGAATTCGGATTATCTTCTACCTGAACAGCTACAGTCTCTGAGTCCTTCCTCGAACTGCTATCTTTCTCTTCACTTTGTAGTTGATTCTTTACAAAGATAACATCTCTGCTGATGATAACCTTGCGGGCAGTGTGATCCCACAGGCGATACCCCTTTACTCCATCAGCATACCCCAAGAATATGCATTTTCTGGATTTTGAATCCAACTTTGTAATTTCTTGGGCATTGTACATTACGTACACTGGACTTCCAAATATATGGAGGTTAGAATAATCAACTGGCTTGCTAGTCCACATCTCCATCGGCGTCTTCAATTGTATTGCAGTTGATGGAGATCGATTCACCACATAACAGTCGGTTTTTACTGCTTCCGCCCAAAAGACTTTATCTAGATTTGCAGCTGCCAACATAGCTCTTGTTCTTTCCAACAGAGTTCTGTTCATCCGCTCCGCCACTCCATTTTTTTGAGGAGTATAAGTAGTACTGAATTGTCTTTTGATGCCTTCATGCTTGCAGAATGTTAGGAATTCACCGTCTGTGTATTCTCCTCCATTATCTAACCTTAAGCACTTGATCTTCTTCTCAGATTCAAGCTCGACCCGTGCTTTGTAGGCTTTAAAGACTGAGAACACATCCGCCTTCTTCTTGATAGGATACACCCAACATCTCCTGGAGTAATCATCAATAAAGGACACAAAGTACTTTGCTCCTCCTAAGGATGTAATTGGTGCTTGCCATACATCAGAATGAACCAATTCCAGAATAGTCTTGCTTCTAGAACTCGATGTGTTGAACTTCAGTCGATGCTGCTTGCTTGTAACACAATGCTCGCAGAATGGAAGAGCTACCGAATTAAGTCCAGGAAGCAGTTTCTGATCGGAGAGAACCTTTAAGCCTCGTTCTGACATGTGGCCTAGTTTGCGATGCCACATCATGGTTTGTTCTTCTCCACGGCTGGTTGATGCCACACATGAATCAGCTTCCTGCAGAGTCTCTCCCTTGAGCATGTACAGATTTGCAGCTATCTTTTCTCCTTTTATCACCACAAGCGCCCCTCTAACAATCTTCATGATCCTATTTTCGATATGGGTCTTGCACCCGAGCTCATCTAATTGTCCCAAAGATAATAGATTCTTCTTCAAGCCCTTCACATGTCGCACATCTTGAATGGTGCGTATTATACCATCAAACATTTTGATTTTGATAGTACCAATACCACAAATCTCCAAGGCATGATCATTCCCCATGAATACAGATCCTCCTGAGATAGGTTCATATTTGTGAAACCAATCTCTCCGAGAGGTCATGTGCCAAGAGGCTGCTGAATCTAGAAGCCAGACATCAGCAAACTTCTTTCTGCCTTCATCAACAGTGGTTGCTCCACTGAATAGAATTTCACCATTGTCTGACGTACTGACAACGCATCCTTGAGATGTTGATGGCTCTGAAGCCTTTTTATCTCCACTCTTCTTGTTGTGCCAACACTCCGATTTGACGTGCCCTCTTTTGCCACAATTGTAGCATTTGATATTCTTCTTACTTCGTGATTTCGATCTACCATGGGCATGACTCCCACTGGAGCCACGTTCTGTTGATCTTCCTCTCGTCACCGACAAGGCATCCGCTTGCTGTGAACTTGACTGCCTGTCTTCCTTGTTCTTGCGCCGATTTTCTTCCTCCAGAACAGCGGTTGCAACATCGTCGAAAACTAGACAGTCCGTGAGGACGTTGTTTGTCAAGTTGATGATGAGTTGATCATACGAGTCAGATAGACTCTGAAGTAGAAGTTCCACACGTTCATTCGCACCAACTGTATACCCCAACGTTGTGAGTTGGGAGAACAGTGTGTTTAGGGTGTTGATGTGGTCGGTCATCGATGTAGATTCCGCCATCCTAAGAGTGTAAAGTCTCTTTTTTAAGAAGATTTTATTGTGCATGAATTTCGCCTCATATAGCTTTGTTAGAGTATCCCAGATCTCATTTGCTGTCTTCTTCTCCTCTATGCTTGATAGCACCCCGTCTGCTAATGCCAGATAGAGATTTACAATAGCATTTTCATCCATCTCGTTCCACTTCTTATCATCTATGATATCGTCCGGCCTTGCACCGATGGCCGCTAGGCAATTATCTTTTCTCAAGGTAGCCTTTATCTTCAACTTCCACAGTGAGAAATTACTCCCGTCGAATTTCTCGATCTTGAACTTCGCCGCCATTGCTTCTACCACGAACAGTAACTTCTTACTATTTCACGTAAATAGTACTGTATTTATGAACAGTAACCGTATCCGTGAATAGTACTGTATTTGTGAACAGTACCGTACTCGTGAATAGTACCCGTCACCTTCAAAGGGTAAATGATAACCTAACTTATTTTCTGATGTGGATGATCCACCTTTGGTGGTAGCCACAGAGCATACGATAAGTAGATATATACAAATACCCTAAGTTGGCTCTGATACCACTTGTTGGGACAAACCCGGGGCCCAATAGAGCAGGGTCGCAGCAATAGTAGAACAAAAGTAGAGATAAAATGTTAGACACATAGATTTACGTGGTTCGACACTTGATTGCCTACGTCCACGGGAAAGGATAGAAGAATTCACTATGAGGAGAAAAACTCTGGAGTTACAAACTCTCTCTCTCTCTTTACAAGGAG